GGGGGGGGGGTTGTGAGAAAACTTGATACAAAACCACTGGGAGAGTTCTGTCCCTTGTCCTTAGGTGATAATAATATAACAAGTAATATTATATTGACACAGTATACCCGCCAAAGGTTTCAAATTAATGTGCAAGAAAGAAAGAAAGAGACAAAGAAACAAAGAAACAAAGAAAGAGATGTAATTTTACCGTATGTACGAGAGATTCAAAAATAAAACCAATAAATTAGATGCATAAGACTACAGACCTATTAAGCAAACTGACTCTTTGATATAGCCAGAAGAAGGGAAACGAAACATTTTTGCCTCATAAAGAAGCATCGCAGTTTAAAAAAGGACTTTCAGAGAATGGTCATAAAGAAGATATGGAGTGGACACACGTCTTGACAACTGGAGACGAGTGTTCACTTGTCTGGACGTCTACGGTTAAATAGGGAAAAGATGCGTTTATGTGGCCTGTCGGTTGAACAGTTACGCCCCAAAAGGAGCACACTTAAATATCAAACTATAGGCCGTCCACAGTAAAAAGTGAAACGCTCTTTTGAGGAATTATTTCTTATATAACTCACCAATTTATGCCAGATATTGAAACTGAACATTTATTAATCTATCTTAATAGGACAGGCAAAAAATGGTTCATTTCTGACTAGAAATAAACAGTGTTTTTTCTTTTTCTTTGTTAATTAGTGTGAAATGTTTGCTGAATTACAGTATTCACCATCCCATGGGTCAGACTTGAAGTAAAGATAAGTGGAATAAACACCCTTTGTTGTGAGCCACAATCAAGACGATGGCAATAATATAGGCACGAGAATGCTTTATACAATGAGATAATGTTAATAATGATATGATATTATGTTATTTTACAGACTGTTAGCAAGTAGGACTGTGCTGTATGTATGCTGGTGGGGGGGGGGGGGTGTTTAATGGGCTTTTTTTTTTTTTTTTTTTTTTTTTTTGGGGGGGGGGGGTTCTCGCAAGTCTTAGTAAAGTAGAAAAAGACCTTTCGTCATGGGAAGAAGTGCCTTTCGATATGATGCTACGACTTCCACAAAATATATTGCATGACGAGACAAATGGTGTTTATCGTCATTTCCAAATTTCAAAGTCCAACTCATATCATGCGAATCAGAAGTCATTACAAGATAGTTGTTCTGTTTCTTAACGGACAGTTTATCGTAAAACAGTGAGGAACAAAAAGAATTGTACAGTTTACGATTTTCCCAGCGTTATTTACTCAATCAAAACCTCTGGAAGAGACTCTAAAGATATAATAACAATGTAGTTGTTACAGTCATACTTTGTTTAAGGATTACTACGCACCTTAAGACTTTTTTTCTTATTATTCAGGGAGGACTACAGACTGACCAAGGATTCAGGGGTTATATTAACTCTTTTTGCGGAAGATGGGCGGGGGGGTTGGGGTAAATAGGAATAGTATATAGCCCATTCAAAGGTGTATGGGAGGTTGGTTGTTTGGTTTCCTTTCCCTTTTTAAAAGAAACGTTTCTTAGGGGGGGGGGGGTGTCCTGTAAGAGGAACACTTTAGCGTGTCTTACTGGCCGTCAGAGTCAGAGTTTTTGTGAATTCGCGTGGTAAGGTTTCCTTTGGATCGGTTCTACAAATTATTATGTCACCACTATTCACTGACATTCTCATTTATCCTCTATTACGCTTTATGTACATGTAAACAAGCTTGGAGAGAGTTGAGGCCGTACTTTTTAAACTGTTTGTCTGTCTGTCTGCCTATCTGTCTGTCTGTCTGTCTGTCTGTCTGTCTGTCTGTCTGTCTGTCTGCCTCGCTCTATCTCATCACTATGCGAGTGTAATCACAGATGTGTGCTGTGCATCTTTTGAGCTCCAACAAACAGCTAGCACGTACCTAGCTAGAGCCCGCCTGCCCTGGTGTCTGAGAGTCTTCAGCTGGTCCATGTCGTGCCAAGTGAGGATGTTCTTGGTCCGTATTGCCTCCAGTGTGGGGTCCATGGGTATCTCACTCACCAGAAAATCGTGGTTGTTGCTGAGGACAACCCTGTGTTGCTTCAACATCGTCGCTGCTTCTTCTCCCTATTCTGTAATATCTTTCATTAAATATAATATTATCCACGTACAGTCACAATCATCTCATGGATACCTTGATCTTTGAGCATTGAATGTGTACTTCCAAAAGCGTTGACCATGGAGGCACTTCCTTGATCCTGCAACGAGAAAAAAAGGATAAAACGCCATTATTACCCAAAAAAAGCATGAGTATGACTAATTGGCTCATAAAAAACTTTTAAGATTATGTCAGAAAGCAACTCAATACTAAACGTTAAAAACGTTTTTGTTTGTAAATATGACCAATCGTGTGCAAGTCATTAAAATGTGAAACAAAGAATTGTTTATCTTTCCAAAACAGGAAGTGAGAGAAAGTCTAAAAGACATGGATTCATATGTTCATGAAAAGTAACCCATCAAAGGGATATCATAATAGCAATATGTCAGAAATTAATGGATAGTGTCGACCAATCTGCTGTGATATAGTGACTCAGTAGCGTGAAAGTAGTTTTTAACGTTTGCGTCGCTTTAGAAAAAATTAGTCCTACATGTAAGGCAGGAGAAAGTGGTCCACTGTCCCCTGCAACTTCCACCACAAATTGTTTTCAGTAGAGTTACATCCAAGCAATACTCAAAAGCCAAAAAACCGAATCACTTGCACAATTCCTTAATTAGGAACGTGGCAGCTTCACAAAAGCAATGAGTTCTTAGTGCAAGAATTTAATGTTTGTTGATTGATATACTTATTTTATAACGAGCCTCACTCGGTTCCTAACTACATATTCACAGTTCAAAAGTTACACGTCTGTCTTTCTTAGTAGGCCTACTTTTCATCCCTAATTTCTCAGGACCTACCTTTTATAAAGTAGGCGTTGATCCAAAGTTAAAAAAGAAGACCACTTTTTCCGCTTATTTCTATTAGTTGCTCTGTCTGTCTGTCTGTCTGTCTGTCTGTCTGTCTGTCTGTCTGTCTGTCTGTCT